AATTGATGGGGGCACATAGACAGGGGATGATCCCTTGTTGTCTGGACATGTCCAGACCTTTTTGTCGGGGTTCCATCTAAGAAATAGGAGGAAGATCGATTATATTTCAAGTACATCAGCTCGTTTTGGCAGTTCCAGAAACGCCGTCCGGGCAGCACGTGTCCGTTTTTGATAGTGAGAGATGGATTCAGTAAGCAGCCAATGGTAGCAGCCTGTCTCATGTTTCTTACAATTGACCTGCTTGGCCATGGTTAATGTATGAACCGACCCATTTTGCGGCAGAAACAATATTGCTGTTTGCGTCTGATTTTTGTTATGATTTGTTGATGGCATGGTGTTTTTGTTGTTCAATTGATCGACTATTGGTTTATGATAGTATATAGATAGTATGTCATACAGAGTCATACATGTCAATCCCCCAGCGAATTGTATGTCATATAGATATATACACGCATTAATGTTCAGCAATAAACAATGTACCAATAGTATTATGATGATACAGTAGCACATATGATATACCAACTGTGTTGGTTATGTTATTAAAATGATATTACGATGGTATATATATATGTATATATATATAATAATATATATATATGTCATTGTTTTGAGCCATCCAACAGGCTGGCCGACTTGACAGGCTAAGACACTCCTGCAGACCATCAGGGCCAAACCTAGGTGCTGTGGGTTTTTTTCGGGATGGATGATTTCTGACATGTAGGGGATCCTCTAACAGATGATTTTTCCGAATAGGGGATAATAGGGGATTCCTCTAAATTATGATGTCTCGATGATTTATCATTTATGATGTTTTTTTGGTGATTTTTGATGATTTTATAGGGGATTCCTCTAATACATTGCCTTCGAACAGAGAAACTCTGCTGACTTTCTGAAAAAGAAAGTATTTTTTGGGCCAAGGGTCCTGACAACTATGCGATGCTGCCTGATGGGGTTCCTCCGTGTCGGTGTCAGGTCTTTTTTTGGGTCTGTTAATGTTAAAGTTGAACTGGAAATGAATCTTGATTCAGGTTTGGATGTATATATATTTGGTTTCCTGACTTCACCATGTTGGTGTATCTGCAATATAGGGGTTTAAACTGACATACTCTCACACTGTTCCTCACTTTGTCTCTGGGCAATAAGCCTCCACTCATCAAAGCTCTCCAAATTTCTGCAAAAGAAGTCAGGCGGAATTGACCAGAGGTGTTTCATTAAATAGGTACCCTATGTTTTGGTGAATTTGGATGGATTTCGAAGTTGCCCTGGGACGCGCTAGGTCCAATCCCAACCTGCTGCTTGGGAATGATGGCGATGCCCTGCTGCTGGTTCGGAAAGCCGGGACCCTTGGGAGGTTTTTAAACTTGATAAACATTGCCCTTGATTTTGACCAGCTCAACAAAAAGGACTTATATCTGATATTCCTTCCATTTGGAATCAACTTGGTTTGCCGTAACTTCCCTGCTGAATCATGCCACTCAAATCTTATCCTTACAGTGTTGGCATGCATTGTAATTGGGGCTTACCACTGGCATTCCGGTCGTGGGGGTGTCCAGGGGCCACTGGTGAAAATGTTCGGGAACGACCCACCACATCAGCACAAGTTGACTGGCAGATTGTGGCTATCGTCATTAAATTGATCTTTTGGCTTTGGAAATGGTTTGCATCTGCATTCTAGCCTGGCAATGGAAAAGCCAAGCATTTGGACAATTTTGGAAAATTGTTTGTTAATGGATGTAAATGGGGAATCATCCATAGCCATGCTTGATTGCTACAGGGTAAAACGATACACAGCTTTGACCCAGACAATTCTGTTGACGGAAACTGATGCAAAGGTTGGATCGGTGAGCATGCGACAAGATAACAGCTGCTACTTGACCTTGAACTCACAGCATTGGGGAAAGATGTTCAATTCGGGGCACCCATCTGATCCACTTGGATATCTTTCACTTCTATCCCATATGGCACAGAGTTTCTGAGCAGTGCATCCGCTGCTTGGTTGGAAAACAGCATTAGAGCTGAGCCGAGAATTTGCTGGCGAAGGTGAAAAGGATGGGCGATGACAACATGGCATGAACTCATGGCATGACCACAGATGCGGACCCTGCCTACAACAAACCAGCAAAACAACATATGAAAAACATGTCAGGATGCTAGCGGCGTGGAAAAACATTGTGAAAAACCTTTAAAAACATATCCCTGAATTTTGGTCATGGCTCGCCCATGGATGCTCAACAGCTACTGGGAGCTCCAGCAAGCCAGATTTGAAGATATTCTCAGAGCAACTGTAATTACATGGTACAAACAGAAAAACTGAAAACCCATTCTATCAAAACATCTCAAAACAAGAGGACCTCCATGAAACAGCAGAGATTGCCATCTGCATGTCGCGAGCAATGACCAATCAATGCTTTGCGTGGTGCTATGCCCCGCAGCCTCCGTTCTGGCGCGGCCAGAGCCAAAACCTGGGTCCTCACAGAGAAGGACTTGGCCCAGTCATGGACACGTCATCGTCTGGCAGCTGGGCCGGCCGGGCCTGCAGGTGATAGAGGCTCCACAGCCACTGGGACCTGGAGATTTTTGGCCAGGAGCTTCCCAGAGCCATCGGGCCCACTGGGTCTGCGAAAAAGCCACCTGTGGATTCTTCTCTATGGCACCAAGTTTCGGTCAGCTGAATCCCAGGTTTCAAGCCTTTCAAAAGTATTGCAGCAGATTGCAGGGAGATTTGACTCCCAGCAGTTCCTGTTGGCTGTGCGGATTGCCGTTGACTTTGGAGCCTCATTGAATTGGAGTGCCCCATTGGTGAATCAACCGCGGCATGCCAGATATTTGTGCCGACATCCTGGAAAATTGACCAAAGTCATCGCAACTGGATTTATGTGCCAGATTTTTTTGTTTACCCTCTGGTAATTTGACATAGCTAATGGAAAATCGCAATTTTTAACAGGTAAATCATGGTAAATTATCTACTGTACCAATAGCCATTTTCCATAGCCATGTGCATTGTGTCAAGGGTAACACGTGTGCCTGTAGACACTAGTGCTGTTGACACTTGTGTTTGTTATCGTTCAAAGAATAAAACATTTGAACCGTTCCCAACCAGCTCAAAAGGCTGACTGGATCATGTAGACGTTGCCCTCGGATTTGATGCCACAGGATACCATCTATGGAGACGGCACGAAGGACAGAAAGAAACCTGAAGGCCCAGACTCAATACACCAAGAATCTTTGGTACGTCCATTTGTAAATGGATATCATGACAGGAAACTGATGCAATTTTTTGCATGAATCCATGAATGTCCGAATGCTGCTGCAAATGTTGAGAACCATTGTAGTCATCCATCGTTTTTTCCAACTCATGAGGGTTCATTTACCCCCCCCGAGCCCTGACCGCCCTGACCCACCTTTCCTTCTTCCCCACAGGGCCACTGTGTTGCCATCCATGCCCTTGCCGCAGGCTTTCGACATTACAACGATTATCTGTGGCCATTCTCTCAGCAGCTGGCGGTTTTAATCGCAGCACGCTCCCGGGATTTTGGCCACGACATCCTGAAGGTCTTCTGCACGTTGGTCCATCATGCCGGGAGGCTCGCCTTTCGCAAAGTCCCTGAGGAGCAGAACCTTGATGCATCAAGCATCATTTTCCCTTTCAACAGCCATTTTGGGTTATTATATAAATGGTTATACTATGTTATACTATATTCCAGAAATGACGGATTTTCCGGACCTTTTTCAGGATATTTCATGACATTGATGTCAGACATGGAGTGACCATGTCACCCAGCCCGTGGCCGTCCAAGGACAGCAGCTGTTGTGAAACAGATTTGCGACCAAAGAGGTGACGATGGAAACAAGATAAAGTGGACATCGAATCTTGGCTGTTCACCAGCAAGTATGGATGTATATTGATGTATATTGCTGTAATATGATGTATTATATTGATGTAATATGATGTATATTGATGTAACATTATCTAGTTTTGAGACGTTTTGTGCCCATACCGAGGGGTCTTTCTTTATTCCCCAAATAATTGTGGCCACACTTCTAGGGATCTTACGGTAAGAGTTAAGGCCTGGTGTTCATTGCGGCGTGCACGCGCCTTTTTTGATGACCGTTGCAGCGCAAAGGGTCCCTTGTGAGATGTCCATGTGCATTTCGACTGTCGCGGAGACCTCTGACGAAACCCTCTTGTCACTTTGTGCGTGTCGGATCCCTGTCGTTGTGGCGCGGTGCGAATTTTGAGATCGCTCGCGCAACCTTCTCAGCACTTCGTGCGTGTCGGATCCCTGTCGTTGTGGCGCGGTGCGAATTTTGAGATCGCTCGCGCAACCTTCTCAGCACTTCGTGCGTGTCGGATCCCTCTCGTTGTGGCGCGGTGCGAATTTTTGAGATCGCTCGCGCAACCTTCTCAGCAGATCTTGCCAAGAGGTCTCTTACCGAGATCTTGCTGAGAGAGCTTGTACAGAGATCTCTTCACGACCTCTTTTAGGGAACTTGTATAGAGATCTTGCCGGGAGACCTTTTACAGAGATCTTGTACTGAGAGTTTGCCAAGAGGTCTCTGACAGAGATCTTGCCAAGAGAGCTCTTATAAAGAGCTTGTGCAGAGATCTCTGGGTCTGGCACAGATCTTGCCAAGAGACCATTTATATCCATTTATAGGCAGCTCGTACAGAGAGCTTGCCAAGAGACCTCTTTTAGAGATCTTGTGCAGAGACATTGTGTAAATATCTGTTGAGATGTTGCCAAGAGGTCCCTGACAGAGATCTTGCCAAGAGAGCCCTTATAGAGAGCTTCTACAGAGATCTCTTCACACGATCTTGCCAAGAGACCTCTTAATTATAGGGAGCTCTTGTAAAGATCTTGTACAGAGACCTGGTGAAGAGAACAGACATCTTGCTCAGAGATCTCTTATAGAGAGTTTAAACAGAGATCTTGCGCTGATATTTTTTGGACAGAGATCTTCTCTGGTCTCTGGAAATCTCTTATAGACACCTTGTACTAGTAGCCCTAAAAAGGGATCTCGCACAGCAGCTTCTACACAGAACCTGTCAAGGAGATCTTGCGCACTATCTTCTATAGAGATCTTCACAAGGGGAACTTGCAGAATCTAGCCTGGTATCTCAGTACCTCTTCTTCATGTTCTTTGCAACACTGTTTGGGGTCTCTTGCCGAGATAATTTCCTGGACTAGAGAGTATGAGTGGACCTTACTGTCCAAGCTGAAACATGTTGAGACCACCAGTTCCATCCAGCTCCGGCTTTCAAAACTTCCTTGTAGTTTTTAAAGCCGTGTCCCCAAGGATGGCCCCCCTGGTCCCCAAGGTCCCTCAGGCCAGGTTGCTGCGAGGTATGATGCTGCGGAGGTGTTCTGCGCAGCGCATCGCCTTGGTCTGCCAATGACCAAGGCTCTGACCAGTCTGACGCGCATCATTCGTCAAGATCTGCAGGTTGGATATGTAGAAGGAACGGCGGAGACCTTTTTGAACAATTGTCCAATGGGAAATCCACCATTTTGGGAGAACATATGGGGAATAATATGTTTATTATTTGGGTGCCCATTAAGCAAATCGAAGTCTATGGGTAGCCATTTTTGGACAACTTAACATTGTTTTGGACACAGGGATGAACGATGTTACTCATCAACAACACTGCAAATTCACTGCAAATTGCAAATATGCACATCAACTAGACTCAGCTAGGCAAAATCGAACTAACTCATAATATGACAAATTGTATCGGACTTTGGTTTGCACTTTCGTTTCTGCTTTGGACTTTGTCTTCCACTTTTGTTTGTGCTTTGGAATTTGGCTTGCACATTTGTGTTTGTTTTGGGCCTTGTTGTTCAAACAATTTTTTGCACATATGTTCGAGCTGTCTGTTTCAACCAAAAAATCGTCACGAAAATGGCGCGTATGTTTTTTTTTGGACATGTACAATCATGTACACATCCACATCTATATATCTACATATGTATATGTATATGTACCTACAGACTCTTAGCCAGAACTACTTTGCCCCGCAAGATCTCCCAAGCATATCCAAACTTCGGGGGATCCACCGATCAATTTTTCACAGGAAGTCAGGGCAGAGAATCTTCCGATTTTGGCGCGTGGCCTTGGGAAAGGTGATTGGCATGAAGAGTTCGTGCTACTGCATGCAATATGTCGACAAGGTCGGAGGAGGTGGAAATGGAGATGATTGCAGGATATTGCAGGATGGATCCAGAAATAGCATGGAATTGGAGGATATGCTATTATATAGTCTACACATGTCTAGTCACACACACATATATAATATATGTATGTATATATATATATTTATTTAAGTATATTTATATACTATATACTATACATTATATGCATGTACGGTGTAGAGACTTGAGGACCATGTTCATGGCGGATCTTAAGCTTGACCTACAGGCTCTTTGGCTCTGCAAGAAGGAGTCTTAAAGGCACAAGCGGCTTGCGCCTTCATTGCGGTCTGCAGCAACAGCAATTGGCAGATCTTTGATGAAGAACTTCTGCAGAATGCTTCCAGAGCTTTCCAAAATGGTTCAAAGGACGGCATCTGAGGGTTTTTGAGCAGTGCAGTGGTGCAGCACACATTTTTGTCCAGGTCGCATATAAACACATGTGATATATGATATATGTATTTGCTCAGGGATTGCTCTCTTGCTTGACATCCACATTTGCAGAATATTTCGAGCCCTATAATTAAATGATCAATGAATCAATTCCTATCGTGCTGGGACCATTCCTGTTTCGAGACGAAACGACAAAATCATGACGCCACCACTGTTTTGAGCACATTGATCAAAAATGATGGAACGAAAAACATTAAAAACCTCGGGGCCACTATTGGCGCTGGAACCTGATTTGGTAATTAGTCTATACATGTGCAATATTTCCATAACTATGTCAAACTATCAAATTGCTAAAGGGCCAATCCCCTATGTTGGATTATACCTGGATTATTATGTGATTATTGGATTTTTTTGGTATGGCCATGGAATATCAGCATATTTTATTTCAGCTATAACATCCCTCTTTATCAGAGATAGAAACGCAATCCTGGTTGCGAAGGACCTGTCCACGAAGGAGCTCTGCGATGTGATCTATTCGGTGGATCGACCATATTTAGGGGTGTTTAATAATACGGGGATGGGGTTAATGAGGAATGTGATGATTAAATATATACCATATAGATTCCATGTAGATCATTATTATATATATATATTATTTAAATATACATTAATAATATGGACATGATAATTTTTACAAGATTAATGCGCAGACACTCTTTTTGTTGGACAAACCCAAGTATCAATTTGGAAGTGTCAGCTTTGTCAATCTATGTTTTCTGTTGGATCTTCCGATTTTCCAATTTTCATTTTGTAGGAATGACCCCAGTTATGACCCAGGTTAGCAGCTTTCAAGTCCGCGACGTCATTGCAATGGAGACTCGACTGACAGAAGAGCCGACAAGTCAATTTAATTTGGAAGTGACCAATAGTAGACATCCAAAGGCCATTTTCAATAAAGATTACATTATGATTATAGACAGAATGTATATATGCATATACAATATGGTCATCAAGGATAGAATATATTCAGGAAATTCAACTTCGCTATGAATTGTACGGTCGATGTACCTCCAGAACAGATCATATAGAAGATAATATGTAAAATGGGCTCCAGGGAAGACCAACATCACCTTCCGGAACCCAGAACTGAGACAGCTCTTGCAACAACAAATTGAAATAATCCTGAATATCTTCTATTTGAATTGGATTTGAAAGTGGTCTACTTCTATATGGTTTGGACTTCTATGTATTCGGAATTGGTGCTAATTGATGGCTTGCTCAACACATTTTGAATTGGGGATGTGCACTGAAAAAAAAAACAATGTCATTTTACCGATCAGATAGAAAATAGTCAACCAACTATATTATTTCAACACTATGGGACCTGGTTCTTCTTATGGTATTGGGACCTCAACTGTATACTCAGTAGAAGGGTGTATACATATAACATTAACACATATCTAAATGCCATTTTAACCATATATAAAATATGGCAAGACATGGTTTGTTCAAAGGGGAACCCCGTCGGAGTAATCCACCAGGAAAAAAAACATGTACTTTTACCGATCAAATAGAAGATAATGTCAAAATATTTTGCATTGGGGATGTACACTGGAAAAAATGTAATTTTACCGACCAGATAGAAGATGATCAACCAAATATATAATTTCGACACTATGGGACACATATGAACTAGTAGCAGTGCCAGCCCTTTTCAATCCTGAAGGTTTACCTGCATGCATCAGGCCTGTGGGAATAATGTTAACACGGTATTGCCCAAACGCAGATTCAGGGATTGGGGAAGAAAGTATTTGCAGCTTCAAGGATTTACTGATCATATAGAAGATATTCTTTGATGAATATTTTGGGTATAGAAAAATTGGCAAAATTGATTCTGGGAATATCTTCTATTTGATTGGACGATTGAACCATCAATGAATCATGATGGAACACCATTATCTTCAATATGATCTGCTTTTTTCCTTGGGATAGCTTTTACATCGGCCCGCAAAAAAAAACGCAAAAAAAACTGAGGGTTTTTTGCGTTTTTTTCCAAGATGGCTCCAGCAAGCCTTGTTGCAAAAGTTCCCCCCCAAATCCGGCCAATGTGGAACTACTTTGGCAACATACCGGCATTTGGGCATACATGCAGTTCCCCGGAAGTAACACAGAAAGTTTGGTCAAAATGGCCAGAAACACCGTAAATACCAGTGAATTGTTGATGTTGAAAGGCAACTGCCATTTACAAACCATATAGAAAATAATACCCCAAAAATGTGGCTGGAAACCCCCAAAAACCTGTTTGGGACAACTCTTGCAACACGCATTATCTTCTATGTGGTTGGTACTTTTTGGACCCCCAAAATGGCAACTTCTATATGAAATATTCGTGGAATATCTTCTATCCTTACGGTACGTACTATATATATATATATATGTAGCATATTCATATAGGTCTGACAGGTATTGAATTGATTTGTATGTTTACATAGGTATTGCTATATTTTTTTCTTCTTCCATATCTACAGATGTGGATATTGTACAACTCGATATCACTCACCAACTTGTAAACCAGTTCACAAACATCAGTTCATCGCTGTGCCTTTTTCTTTGTTGCTAGATGTTGCTAGGTGCCCCAAAAATTGCGCACACTGCTGAAATCACTGAGGACGAAATTTGTGCTGAGTTGACTCAACGGGCTAAAGACCGAAAACTTGCTGAGACGGAAATGGTGAAATTGGCCCGTGGACTCTTGAAGCTTCGGCATCGAGATGAGGCGCAACATGTTCTGCTCAAAAGTAAAGACTGGTGCTGAAGAAATGGGGCAAAAAAACGCCAACGGACTGGGGATAGAATGGAGATATACAGAATATTACAACATCGCAACTTCATATGATATTTGGGTGTAAGGTTTATTCAGGCAAGCCTCAACAATGGTTGGTTTCAATCAACAAATAGTACCACCTAATTTCGATTTCAACAGGGAACCTGATGATTGACCCGGAGGTACCCTATTCAGAAGTTTTTTGGACCAACCCAAACGGGTCCTTTGTGTTCCTTCGTAGGGCACATCTGTGATGATAAAGTTCTTTCATAGATCGCGGTCAAAATGGACCCCCAAAAAAATGAGTGATTCGATTCAAGAATTAAGCGCTTTTGTGAGTACCTTGGTACAGATCCGAATTTTGAGTAATTAATACCAATATAGCTGGCTGTTCGCTTCCCTTGTTTTTTTTTTGGATGGAGCTGTCACTCTACTTTAGTCGAACAGGTTTACCACGTCTCAAAAAAACAAGATGCAGCCCACGCACCCGAATGCTCACACGTATGTTAAGGGTGATGATGTCGAAACATATGGAACTGGATTTTTAAAGTGTCAATTGTAAACCATGGAGTGTGGAGTGTAGAGTGTGGAGCGTGGAATGGAAACTGTGGAGTGTAAAGTCGTGGGAGCACCAAAACGACCATTTCGTGCGAGACTTCCGCAATTTTCACAGTTGGAAACATGCGAAAAGGACAGGTTTTGCAGCTCCCCCCAAAGACACGGCGAGGCCACAGGAAAACCAGAGACTCGAGACGAGACACGTGGGAGCACCAAAACGATCATCTCGTGCGAGACTTCCTCCAATTTTGACACTTTGTAGCATCAAAATCGATGTTTTCCTACGACTTTTCTCAGGAACCTGAAAATTTGCCATCCCAAAATCGATGTTTCGTGCGAGGCTTCCGTCGACCATTTTCAGCACATCTCACAAAATGCCACGCCTACCACGGAATCTGCACCTTGTCGCCACTTGACGCAGCCCTGCCAATGCGATTCGCAAAAACACGCAACACGACACTTCTAAAATGCTGCGCCTGCCAAGAAAACTGACGTTGGACACGTCCAAAGTGCTGCGCTTGCCACGAAAACTGCAACGCATCTTCTGAAAACGTCGCTAAAGTATTGCGCCTGCCACACAAAGCGATTTTCGACACGTTACAAAACACGTCTGAATGTCACGAAGTGCAACGCTTGCCACGCGAAACGAAGCAACGCCACATGTGAAACCTCCAAAAATGACCCCTTCTCCAGAACTTACCATAGGCACGGCCATATGGTCCTCACGCGAAAACACCCTCAGCCCCCAGACCCCCAGAGTGAAACGGGAACCCTTGCTACGCATTCGTGAAAAAACAACAGACATGTTCTAACTGATCCTAGAACCCAGACAATCCATGTATTTGTATAGTTGTTGTCACCCAGTTGTATCGTAAATACATGGACATGGGCAATCGTTGGGACCGCCACTGGGACCGCCCCCTGAGTCCTTGATGAATGCCTTAGCTCCGTTGGTCTTGGAGTCAAAGCAGAAGATGCTGCCTGTGAGTTTGTGCACCGCGGCTGAGTTCACCCCAAATAGGGACATGGATACACTGAAATCTACCAGTTAATGATGTTCATGATATTTCATGAGTATCTAGATTAAGATCATTCTAGATATATATAAAAATGATTATACATGTTTATATATATATATACACACACCTATTTTGCAACATGTACCGACACCCGTGTTGCTCAATTGTTCAATACATACTGAACCTGCTGTATTTAGGTATGTTCATCCTTAGCCTTATCTTTCCATGCGCTACTCAGATGACCTCCGTCGCAACATGTCGCGAGGCAATCTGATCGCGGCCTTCTCTTACTTCAGTAGCAGCTCAGATGATTTCTATGTCGAGCTTCTGGGCAGCATCACGGATCGCGCCAGCAAGCTACAGCCGATCTCGGTGCAGCACATTCTGACAGCGCTCTGTCGCTTGCAGGGACGCGTGGCCAGTGAGAAACTGCAGATGCCCTTGGAGAGGCTCTGTGAGACTTAGCTGAAATTGTGTGTGTGTGTTTGTGTACATTGTACATGCGTGTAGTGTACATATATTATTTGTTGATTTTAGATATGATATACGATATGTATATGAGATAAAATAGTTTGCACAGCTGTGTATCTACTATATGAAGATAGCCACTTGTCCTCGATGGCAGTGGTGGGCCTGAACGGCGAATCCTTGGCAGGAAAGGTTTACCTGAGAACAAATGGGTCAAACAAACGACCCCCCTAGACGGCTATTGATGTCCGCTATATGAAGATGTTACATGATGTTACCATGAATGGCAACAGGACTGAACAATTCTTGGGTCAGTTCATCTTGATTCGGTAGCCTGTTGCATCGTTGCTGTCTATTTGCATGTTCATCCTGTTGATCCCCTGTGGACAAGTATAGCTTTTGAATGGTAAAATGATCCACCCCCTGCATTCCGGCATCTCAGCAAATCTCGTAAGATATTATACATATATATACAATTAACTGATTAATTTACTGATTAATACATTTTGATTATACCCCCATATATCCATTATATATATATAGTATGTATAATGGTGCCATAAATCACCCGATATATCACCATCATTTACCATCATGTACAAACAGATCAACATCGCCCAGGATCACATCGCGAATCTCTCAGCGTCCTTTAGCCCCGTCCAAGCCATGAGTTCCCTGTCCGCTTTGGCCAATCTGCAGCAGCGCGACTTGGCATCCGCCTCCGTCTTTGCCAGCGTCCTCTGTGGAACTTCAGAGGTGGGAATGGGAAGCTGAGAAAACCCTGCAAAAAATATGGGATTATCATGGATTATCATGGATTATCCAGTTATGATTATGGAAGAAATGAGGATTTACCCCACACAAACGCTATGATTATATATATATAGATACAGTATATCTGGGAGAACCCGCCGGAAGATACCGGCAAAGTAAATGGCTTTCCACATTGGTTAATCATCAATTATTCCTGGAAGTGTTTGGGCAATGATTATCCTGATTTGGCCTCCCTCAACTACTTGTAGACGCGTTGATCACTGTTATACATACCCAAAACTGCACTTAAGTAAAGATGAGCCTAGAAACCTCATTTGCAAGCGGTAGACGGCCCATCATCCCATCATTTTTACTTTCGGCTTTATGCCAGAGATGGGGCCCATCTCTGTGGGACAGGTGCATTGGCACTGGGCCAAGTCCCCTCAGTGCCTGCGTCAGCTGCGGAGCATGGACTGCGTCAGCTTCGAGGAATCCAAGTGTCGTGCGGTGATGGACCAACTCGACAGCAGTCGTTGTGTGGAGATCCTACAGAGTTTGTCATCCTTGGAGTTGAACTCAAGGCCGGCAAGGTTTAAAGATATTTAAAGATATTTGCTGCTGGTCATCCATTGTTATATATTGTTATAATGTTTAGTGGAAATATGTAGGCCAGAAAGCCTGTATGATCCACTGTCGCCAGGCTCACCTGTCATATGACGGCCCTGTTGTGCAGTTTGTTGGCACCACAACTACATGACCTGCGGGCCAAAGAGGTCATTGTGGTGGCTCGCGCCTTCAGCCCTGAACGCATCCCAGATGTTTTCTGGAGCAGATGCTTAGATTTGCTGAGGGATTTCCTATGATTTAACGTCTTTTCCCCTTGCTTAACTCGACAAAACTCGACTAAGCATGGAGAAATTGAAGAGACCATTGTTGTATTTACTTTTTTTCAGGGGGTGGGTCAAGGGCCTTAAGCAAAAGTAAGGAGGGAAGTTGTCTGGAGCGCATCCCAGCTGTCTAACGGATGGATCCATCGACAGCGAGGGACCCAGTCGGTGGCGCGAACGTGCACTGGATCTGTGCTTTCAAAGTTTGAGGCGTCATGAGCATTTTCTGGATACCACTTACTTTGCCTTGCTACCTTTCAAGCTCCTTTGCTGCTTGATTGCACTGAGAACCAGGATGCAGCAGACTTATGTAATAGTGATTGGTAATGTGTCTTGTTGTCTCGAGAGCAAACTTCCTGAATCGATAGCTAGGATTAGTCATGATCAGTCAGTATCCGTTCCCAACCACATAAAGCCTGACCATAATGAACCGTGTTCTTGGTATATTGTTTTCTATGTGTTTTCTTTCGGGGATTTCAGGCGCAAGGACCTTGTGGATTCTTCAGGTTTGCAGGTCAATCTGGGAACGTTTGACACCAGAAAGCTGGAGGAGTTTCTCAATCCAATGCTGTTGGCTTTTGTGGATCGACTGAACCTTGGCAGGTCATTGGCTTTCTGCTCGTCTTCTAGTGTTCTCGTCACCTATCGATCTTATTTTAAAAAAATCTGCTATCCAGTCTATATAGCATGGTCCCAATGGTTGATGAAAAGATATGTTATATAGATTATATATCTATATACATATTACATATCTATTATATATGAGGTATACACGGATTGATGGCATTTTGATAGGACACATGTTGGTTGACCAGTGGAATTCGGGGCGCTCTATGTATTTTTAGAAAAAACACATGCTTCCTTTGTAGGGTGCGGCTGTGATGTCCTGCATGGTGTCCAATTTACACATAGCATGAATTATATAAAACTCGTGGCAGTTTTCCCATCATACGTACAAGATTATGTTTATTTATTGGTTGGGGTGGTCATGACTTCTCAAAACTTTGCCCCGCAAGAAAGAAGCTTGAGAGATTAGGACTTGGGGTCTCGTGCAGAATGTTCACCCATATCATATTATTGATTTGCAGATATGCATGTGCTTCCTGAGTTAGCACGTCTCATCTCTGGGCAGTCTGCCCGCCAGAGTTTCGCTGGGATCTGAATGCTTCAAGATTATCCCAATCACTTTGTTGAAAAGAAATGCGCAGTTCCCCTGGATATTTCAGGGGTTTCATCGGATATATATATATATATATACATGGATGGTCCCCCCAAAGACCCACCTTTTCACTGGATTTAGCGGTTCTTAGAGTCTTTTTCACACATTTTTGCATTTCAAGCATTGAGGCATTTTGTTACCACCCCCCCTTCCCACTCAAGTCTGGAGTTGTCTTTCTCAAGTCTGGACTTGTCTTTCTCAAGTCTGGCAAGTCTATCTTAGTGGATCCAAGATCCAAGATTTCCTGGGGTTCTTGGCCCAGGAATGTTGGATCCGTGGATCCAAGAACCAAGATTTCTCAAGAAGAGTTTATGGGCATCTTGGATCTTGGATCCTGGATCCGGGCTTGCTGGATCCAAGATTTCTCAAAAAGAGTCTCCGGGCATCTTCAAGCCTGAGCAGTGTGCAGACTTGAGGACGCATGTTCAGACTAGGGTTCAGACTTAATGTCAGCTCTGCAGAACTTTGTCATTCCAAATCACGCATCATAACCAGGAACTATGCAATGTTTCACGTCTTCCGGCCCCGGTGGTTTGCTCGGCATCGCTCATGTCCAGCTCTTGGCTAACAAGCATCTTGCCTTTGTCGTCCCTTCGCTATCTACAGGTGACATGTCGATCCCAGTGCAAGGACGCGTCACTTCGCAGAACAACCAGGCCATTTTGATGCTGTCTGTGCCCAACAACGCTCCATCGCCAGAGAGGCCGACTTCCGATCTACTGCTGCTGGAGAAGGCCATGCGACAGGACAGGAAGTGCCTGTTCATGAGAGCCGCTCGCCGCTGCGCCGCAAGCATTTGGCAGCCATGATGTGCAATATCGAGAAGGGATTGAAGTTGAAGCTTATACAGTGCCTGGGACTGGGATCCTATGGCAGAAGCCAAGCTCTTGGAGTTTTTGGCAAAGCTGAAGAAGATCGTGGCTCCGAAACCAATCACCTTGTCCCTCCCTGCGCCTGCTCCAGCCGCTGCCTCATTTTGCATCTAAAGAGTATCACTAGCATCCTTCATGTCACTTTAGCTGTTGCCCTCACCCGTTGCATGGCTTCTACCTGTGTTATCCGACGGCCTAGATATTTAATGTCTTGGCTTTGAAGGATGATGTACCCGATTCGTCATCCTCTACATCGTCTACTTGGACTGGTTCGGATTCTTCGTTTTCTCCCGAGAGCGTCTGAGCGCAGGGTTCCTCCAATAGTGGGGGTCTGTATCTCATCTTCTCATCTTCACATCTTCTTATCTTCACATCCTCTCATCTTCACATCTTCTCATCTTCACACCTTCTCATCTTCACATCTTCTCACTTCTCATCTTCTGATCTTCTCATCTTCACATCTTCACATCTTCTCATCTTCTCATCTTCTCATCTTCTCATCTCAAAATCTTCTCATCTTCACATCTTCTTATCTTCACATCCTCTCATCTTCACATCTTCTCATCTTCACACCTTCTCATCTTCACATCTTCTCACTTCTCATCTTCTGATCTTCTCATCTTCACATCTTCTCATCTTCTCATCTTCTCATCTCAAAATCTTCTCATCTTCACATCTTCTTATCTTCACATCCTCTCATCTTCACATCTTCTCATCTTCACACCTTCTCATCTTCACATCCTTCACATCCTTCACATCTTCTCATCTTCTCATCTTCACATCCTCTAACTTCTCATCTTCTCATCTTCACATCTTCTCATCTTCTCATCTTCTCATCTTCACATCCTCACATCTTCACATCTTCACATCTTCTTCTCTTGCCCTCTTGGCCTCTTGCCCTCTTGCCCTCTTGCCCTCTTCTTCACATCTTCTCATCCTCACATCTTCACATCTTCATCACATCCTCACATCTTCACATCCTCACATCTTCACATCTTCTCCTCTTGCCCTCTTGCCCTCTTGCCCCGCCCTCTTGCCTTCTCCTTCTTTTCTATTTCTCTTCTGAAGGCGGGGGCAGGGGCAGTGACAACGAGACGGCACGAAACGCAACCCTTTCGCACGAAAGGAGGTTCGATCGTCAAAAACTGAGATAAAAGTGCGAGTTCAAGTCGTCCCGCGCAACCGTTTCGCACGAAATGAGGTTCGATCGCCAAAAACTGAGGTAAAACTGCGATTTCAACTTGTCCGGCGCAACCCTTTGACTTTCGCACGAAACGAGGTTCGATCGTCAAAAACTGAGGTAAAAGGCACCCCCAATCAGACTGTACAGCCCATGTCAAGAAGCAGATGCACATGCTCAAAAAAAAAGTGATGTGCCCACATGCTTTCTCAAAGCTTGCGCTTGTGCAAAGCAGATGCACATGCCCAACTCTGGCATATGATTTCCAGTCTGAAAGGTCTTGGGAGTAGCTATATATATATGTATATATATATATATAGATATATCGCGAATTATGTCAAATTATGGCAATAACATGGTCATACTCATGGGATCACCCGAGGTAATCCTCCAAAATCTATGGTCTTGCTTTGGGTGTCCTCTTCAAAGGTTGCCACAAATCACACCAGGAGAAACCTTACAAAGGAGGAATGCGCAGCGAACCGTGCACGCCGGGAAGGGGAGGACGAGGAAGGCGAATCCTTTGCGCTGACCGCTGCTTGGAAGCGCTCCATGGGATGGTAGAAGCAAGAATCAGCTGGGTTGATTGTTTCAAAGATGTTGAGTTCATTTGTTCATTTCAACCATGGATATTGGCCAACTATTTTTTTTCAGGGGTTGATACCACCAATATCTAGGCACTGTCCCTTTTTGGCGATTTAAAGCATCGAAACATCTCGGTTTAGTTGTTGAACGCAGTGTCTTCCTTCAAAAGCACGTTGTTTATAAAGGAAAGCACGTAGAAGGGAACCTGCTCATGGAGAAATGATGCAATCAACAGCCAGGTTCCACTATAACATGTATGATTTTGAGAGTTTCAACAGCGTACATGACCACGAAGAACCTGACGAAATTTCTTTGGATCTAGAGGTCGCCAGCGACAACGGCCCCGTTTTTGGGGCATCCCAACAAAGGGAACCTGTCTCAGCGCTACCCAGGAACCAATGGATCTGGGGCCCGAAAAAATTGATTGTGAGAGCGGGCACCGCATTCTACTGGGCAGTTACCTCGGAGATTTGCAGGTGGATCTGCTTTTGGAGAGGCCCTCGAAAAAGATGGCGCGAGGGCGCATGGTGTCATGGGTAGATGTTTTTTTCTGAGCGTCACAGCGCCTCACTTTCTCCATGTGAATGTACTTACTAAAATTGGGGTATATCCCCCCCAAAAAAAAACATGCACCGTAATTTTGGATAGGGGAAGATGATGATTAACCAGTGGATTTAGAGGTAAACCGATGAAGTGCAACTGTTTTGCACAGTTTCCGGGGCCCCAACGGCTTGGAAATAGCTTATATACCATAACAGTGCTCCATGATCCATGTGAGGCTCGTGCATTCCAGGGGGAGAAGTGCGTTTGGACCTGAGCGAAATGTCGGTTTTCTCCCCAATGACAACTTTTCAGTGAGAGAACGGTCGGATTGAAGCATTTCTGAATTGTTACGTTTATACTGTTTGTATGATTGATGTCCTGGGAAACATTGTTGGGGGAGAAGAGTGTCATTAAATCAGATTTATGTTTACGTAATGCTTTGAAGACACCTTTCTCTAGCAGTCAAATTTGGAGGATGTCGAAGTTGCGTCACGGACAAAATATTGTGCCCACTGCAGATTTACAAGATCAGAGTTCGTGTTCCATGTGTGTTGTAGTGGTTTCTAATTTTGCCTACCCCTCACCAAACCATCAGAAATGGATGGTCATGGTGTACAAAGTGCCTTACTTGCAGTTTAACGATGTTTACTGTACAAACTACTGTGAAATGCCCTTTACATCCCTCTACGTATATGCATGCATCTATCTACCGCATTATAATTATGATTATGATATATGATATATAATATATATATATAATTATATATTTATATTATACACATCAAGCGCAAACGAAGAACAAGAAATAACAAAGGATAACAAAGGATCAATAAATGCATTATTGTAACTGTAATATACTGCAACTATGAACAGTTAATGTGTATAATTTTGATATATACACTAATACATACACATCGTAACCCCCCGAAGAGATTTTTGGATGGTCGTTGGATGATGTTTTCCGCAAGGCGCAGGCACTTGCTGCCCAGCTTCTTGCGGAGGTGCGTCGACGTGATGCTGTTGTGGGTGGTTTAAGGAGATATCTAAGGACTTGAGAAATCATTGGACATTCTATGACATTCTTACTTTATATTTGTGTTGATGTTGTTTTTTGTTAGGATATAATTTTTGTGTACTACCATGGTTACTAATTACTAGTTCATTATTGCAGTTCATTCATTACTACAATTAGTATCTATCAGTATCATGATTCAAATTCTAACAAGATTCTGGGCATATAGTGGTGATACACTGGGGATATATTTGATTGGTGGTTTCAAGTTTGGGATGACCCAATGACGAGCATGTTGTTCAGGGGGGCTGAAACCACTGACCACATGCAGTGGGGCTATTCTTCGGATATACTGGGATTTACGACTTCATGTTGCATATTGGTTTGTTTGGTGACGGATAATCCACCCCAATGACCATTAAATAATGGAAAAAAACGGTAGATTTTGGGCCCAATGCTCAGACAAAGCCATAGTCAAAGATTAGTCTTTTTTTGTGGCACTACTTTGTTGAGCGTGTACTTGTTTCCAATATTGAAGGTCGTGTGATGTGTTAAGTACACTGCTTCTTCAAGTGTGGTTGGGTAGATTTCCCAAGCATGGCAATCAGGGAACTGTCTCTTTGACGTCTTTAATGAGGTCCAGATGAAACAACCCGGGACTACACTCACAATCAATCAGCTCATGATTAGTCACATGTTTATCTGTGAAGATGGGTGGTTTTCCATTGGCAAGACCACCCGGCCATTCCTTCAGGCCATTCCGGCCATTTGAAGAACCGCGGCTTGCGCCGTTGTGGGGACCAGGTAGGATGAGCATCGGGATGAGATACCGGGGATGGAAGCTGTAGTGGTGCCAGTGTGAACAAAATAAGTGACCAAACATGTGTACATTTGATCACACTTGTCATTACCTGAAGACGTTTTTCTCTTGATTGTCCGCTACTCCATGTTGAAAGCACAAGTTTTTCCAGATGGTTTAGAATCACTAACTCAGACTGAGTCATCAAAGGCATGTCATATCATCCCTTGGGTAGGTGGGGTCTGGATTTCAACCTGTCCTCACCAACTCCACCATCCTTCTCTCCCATGGACTTGTGCTCATCACAACATCCTCGCTGAAGCGAAATTTTGGTGAGGAGTGCTGCAGATGGTTTTGACCGAAAACTCAGACGCTATGATCACATTTGATCATCAGAAACCGATAGTAGGCATGTTCTTGGCTGGAAGATTAAAGAAGACTTGAAAGATTGTGACCTTTTGATCCCTCAGATAGATTGATATCTTATAGATGCTTGTAGTATCTTTGTTGTATCATACAGTAGGCTATTTTTCATGTTTATCGCGTTGTGGATTCCTGCAGATACCCTGGATCCATATGGGTTGATACCATAACTTGCGGTACTTGCTGAGTCTGCTGAATCTGCTGCGCTCCCCCTTTTGCACACACAATTCGGCCCGTGGCGACTATTTAAATCATCCCAAATATTCCAAAGGTCACTGGCAAGCCATCAACATCCATGAGCCATCACTAAACTATCTAAACTCCAAGGAGTTTTTTGTGAGGTCGACAGTCTCTGTTCTCAAAAAGAAACGTCCCATGCTCCCTGATGTTTTTGTTTAGACATCTAGTTGGATGTTCGAGATGCGAACAGGTGAAGAGCAAGATCCAAAGATTCCAAACTTAAACAAGCGGAAACACATGGAAACGCTTTGGAATATGTCAGTCGCTGAGCCCATGAAACCCGAAACTTCCGGATTTTCACACTATTCTGGCTGGAAATTTAGTTGCCAAGGCGCATCCTCGTTGTATAGAGCCTTGGAAGGCTACCGAATGGATGTGTTCGTGGCGGCTCACATGCATAGCCCAGTCGTTTTGCGGTGCTTCGCACAGCATGATGGCTGGCAAACAACTTCAGACTGAACTCTTTTCAGAGCGCTGCTCGTGCAGCATTTGGAAGTGTCTATGGTTCGATGTGTGGTTGGATTCAGGCTGTCCAGCAGATGGTTGCAACCTAGACACCCCAGAGCTGCTATGAAGTATTCATTGCCCAGAGCGACAAGAAGTACAGTATAATAGTATAGACATAAACTGAAATCACCCGCTGAAGGAGACAAAGAAAACCACTTGGGATTGCTGAAAGACCAAGTGAGATTGCCGTTGATCCACCTTGCACTCCGATGGGATGTATGATGGAGCTGTTTCTTGCCAGCATGGGACAGATTTTGAAAGTTCCACAAGATGCGAACATTGATTGCTTTCCGGTGAACAAGCATAGTACTGCATCACCTTCCATTTGTGCATGAATAGAAGATAGTATGTTCGGCTGTTCGGTTCAAACCCTATGTTTGCCCACCACCGATCCTGCATATCCTTTGACTAAATTCTACCCTAAAACTCTAAGACTCTAAAACCCAAACACCCTGGCATCCCTGGCACACTAAAACCCCTAAATCCTGAAAGCTTAAAGTCAAATGGCTACGTATAGCATCATAGCCAGTGTTTTCCGTTCATCAGGATGACAAGTAAAATATTAGTGGGACGTGTCATTTGGCACAGGGTTTGGCACGAACATGTTTCATTTGCTCAGTGGGAATGTCTCGGTTCCAGTGTTCGTAGAGAACCGAGCTTGAGCGCCTATGATCAAGCAGCAGGAAGGTTTCAGGAGGATTTGCTAAATTTGTTGACCATTTCCCATGGAAAGGCAGTGATTCGTAGAACATCCATGGTTCCATGAAGCATCGCCCGGTCGGTTGAACTCTGTTTCCCGCCGCTGCCACTTCCTGCAGAAGGACCTGTTTCCAAAGATGCAAACCAAATCGAGCCTGCAACATGGGTGCGTTTGAAAGTGGGTGATGACATGTGCCACTACCGTATACCGCAAAAAAGTATCAAAAAGTAGTGTTTGTGGGGAGAAATGATGAGATTGTAATTAATGAATAATAATATATATATATATATAATATAGTGTAATCCCTTCCAATCTGTTTGAAATAAGTTGTGGCCAGGATGAGGATGCTTCGCTTTGCTTCCTGGCGCTATCCCATGAGGAACATTGAGGAACATCACCAAAGGTGGGGAGATAATTGGCCAACACTACTGTGGATAGGCTTTAAGATACAATAACATCAATCACTTTATATAATACAGTAGTATTAAGATTTATAAAGTAATATACAGTATAAGTATATATGTATATTGTATATCTATATCACATGGTGATGAATTATGCAACACTATTTGTTTACATAGCTAGCTGAACCATGATGTGTTCGGATTGAAAAAGAAAGCACTAATTAATGGGGATGGAACTTGCAAGTTGTGGGCCACATTTGTTTGAAACTGTCCATCAGAACAACAATGATATCAGTACTGTGTGATTTTTGTGGTGGTGATGGTCCTGATGGTGATGTTGCTCACATGGTTGATGATTTTGGGATTCATGTGGCCTAATGATCATCATGATGGTGATTATGCTGATGGTAATGATTATTAAGTACGATGCTGATGATGGTGGTGGTGGTGATGGTGGTGATGGTGATGATGATGATGATGGTGATGATGGTGATGGTTATGGTGATGATTATTCCGACGGTGATGATTATTAGGATGGTGATGATTATATATTACGATGGTGATGACGATGATGATCATCATGATCATGATCATGATCATGATCATGATGGGGTTGGTTTCCATTGTCTCCCATGATGACCATGGTGCACATTTTGCATTGCTTTCCATAGCCTCCATGGTTTTGATTGTTTTCACATTCAACAGTTGGCGCAAACCATGCAACATGGACCTACCTCTCTTTGGGAAAGCCACCAAAACAGCTCACCTTATTCCATCTTGCGAGCCCAGGCACGCGCTTTGGCCCGTCCCGGTGCCATGGCAACTTCGATGCAGAGCTTGGGGTTTTGGGGAATCTTCCTAGAGTTGACCAGATGGTGATCCCATCCTCCTAATAGATCTAGTACCCTCTGGTTATTTAACATAGC